AGGAACAAAGAAGGCCATCCTGACTGCTTGTGAAGAGAAAGCATTGCCCTTCTTGATGGGCTGCACCAGAAGCTGGCTATTTAGCACAGCAGGCAGGCGAAAGTGGTGCTGGGAACAACACGTTCAATTCCTAGCTGTAGTTGTTGCGATTCTGGCCTTGCTTTGGAATGACCCCGTGCCTTGACTTGGATGGCGCCTTGTGGACATTGGACTTTTCTTGCCTTGTGAACCCTCTTGTGTTGTGGATTTTAATTTTGCCTGGTGGGTTTATTTTGATTGGGAAACCTTCAAGTGTCTTGTGGCCTCATTGGCCATTGCTCTGTGGACTAGCATTGGTCTGCCTGTGGCTGGACTTAATTGGGGCATTCTGGTTCACTTTTTTGGTGAAGTCATGTTGCTGGCGATTATTAATAAACCCACTAAACCACAGTTAGTGTGTGTGTGAGAGAGAGGGGGGGAGAGGGAGGGAGGGGGAGAGAGAGAGACAACACACTAACATATTATCATCTTGATGGTCCTACCTGCCTCCCAGCTCCTTATTTCCCATTCTGCCTCCCCTTCCTAGGCCAAGGAATACATAATTGCCACCACCATGACACACATACATAGTCCAATGCCCTATCAACATATCCCACTGCATCCATAACTCAGCCACCCATACCTGCCTAAGCACTTACCTCCCTTGGAGAGTCAAGAATCTACAGAGAAAGACCAACCAGATCCTACCCATTTCCCCGCCACTTATAAGTGGTGGTAGAACACATTCCTAAAAGTTGGAAAGGTCCAGGAGACAGACCTTTCTAAGCCTTCTCACCAACTAGCAACGTATTTTGCAGTGGTTTGGTGAACACCCATAACATTTCCTCAAAATCTCAAATGTCTCCTGAGGTCTCCAGAAACTTCAAAGTTTAGTTATGTTATACTTTTATCATAGAGGCCCCTTGCTGGTATTTTATCTTGCCTTTAATTCTACTTTCATGTTTATATTTTTAAATTTTGCTGGTCATTGAATGACTAAACATTACTAGTATCACAAGGGGATGTTGTAAAAACCCTATCTGAGGAGGGCTTGCAGAGCAGGGTAGAAGTGATGTATTTTATGTTTCTGTCATTTTAAAACCTTAGTTACTTTGCAAAAGTGAATGTGAACTTTCCATTGGGACACACAAAAGCTGGAATCCGATCCTTTCTGCTGGAGGGGAGTTGGTGTTCTTTTATCCTGACAGCAAAAGTAATCGGTAACACTATTAAAATGCTCCCTCTTGTCCTGTAAGTATCAAAATTCATGTCTGTCCAAGCATTGTTCTTTCTTCCTTGACAGAAATTGTTCTACTTGCTGCTCGCAGCCTCCATGTTAGCTTAGTATCTGTCAAATTGCACTCCAGGCAACAGCCTTTGAACCAGACTCATGTCATTTAAGCCTAAAGGCAATCACCTGAAACTTAGAATTCTGTGCTCTGCCTCCTATACGGCAGGTGAATTTTAAATACAGGTGATGTGGCATGAAAAACAAATGTAGGTGTCTGTACAAATTGCGGTGATGGAAAAACAATGAAACATGCTGCTACATCTCGATGCAAATTCCACCCTTTAGTAATTGTAACCCTGACATTGGATACAAGTATGTAAGATGCCTGGTTTAAATTGTGATGTCAACATTCATGCTTCATCATTCCCCTTGCACCCTTAATATCCTTCTGTGGATATCCATGAAAAGAACAAAACCCAGTTACATTTTCATTGCAGACCATTTCATGGTCCTCCAAATATATATTTGGCAGACCACAGTTGGAGAGTTGTGTTCTGACTTAGGCTTCACAAAATCACCAAGCAGACTGGTTGTCCTGACAAAATCCCTTTTTTATTAAGCTTTTAGATTTTTTTAGATTTAAAGTTTATTTATATGCCGCCCTTTTCCCTGGGGGGACTCAGGGCGGCTCACAACTTAAAAGGGGGGGGGGAGACAAACTTTTAACGTATAAGACAATACATAATTAAAACACAACATTCATACTATTCGGGCGGGTTGTAGTCTTAACCCCAGGCCTGACGGGATAGCCAGGTTCTGAGGGNAGCAGTTGTTCCCAAACTTGGCAACTTTAAGACTTGTGGACTTCAACTCCCAGAATTCTCCAGCTGGCTGGAGAATTCTGGGAGTTGAAGTCCACAAGTCTTAAAGTTGCCAAGTTTGGGAACCACTGTACTATAGGAAATACACATTTTTAAATTTTATGTTTTATAATGATTATTATAAAACAAATGCAAGGTATAAAACCTCCCTAATTCCTTTGTAGTTGGGCTCACAGCTGCTGGTTAAATAAATGCACCCCTCTTTTATAAAGACAGTTTGTCCTGCTCCCCAGGCCCTCCTGATAGGCTGCTGCATGAATGCCATATATTAATAGGAACGCCCTCTGTACATGCTCAAGGGGGCTGTGTCTTCTCATGCCACCTTCTCAAGTTGGCAAAGGCCCTGAGACCTCTTCAGGCAGAAACCCCCTGTGCCATCCAGACACCTGAGTCCCCTCTCCTCAGCCAACACCACCGACACCTGTCAAGGAATGGTGGAGTTGCCTTCAAAGCATTTGGACTCTCGGGGTTTGTCTGTCCCTTGTGAGGTCCCGAGATGGTTCTCCTGGGGCTGATGGGCTCTCCTGCTTCTGGGATGTTCTCCAGCAGTTGCATGAGGCAGGCTCGATCTCTCTCTCTCTCTCTCTCTCTCTCCTGGGTCCAGCTGGCCTACCAGGCCTGGGTCACCAGCACGAGGACTGTCCTCCGTAAGCGCCAGGAGGAAGAGGAACGGCGGACGGATCCAGCTGAAGGCGGCTCTTCCCCAGGTGAGACCATTTCCCCAAACCCAGCTGGCTCTTCCTGTCAACCTTCAGGACCTGGGTGGCTATGGGGTGTCCAGCTGAACACGATCCGTTGGTTTTGCCATCTCCCCCTCTTGCAGGTGAGGAGGCCAAAGGGGAGATTCTGCCAGGTGGATTGCCAGAGGAGAGACACAGCCAGGAGGAGGAGGAGGAAGAGGAGGAGGAAGAGGAGACGAGTCCAGGTAGCTCACGATGGAAGGGAATGCCTGCAGCTTTGGCTCCACCTTCAGGGTCCAATCCCTTAAGACAAGGTTTCACAATCTCAGCTATTTTAAGATGCGGGGACTTCCAACTCCCGGGATTCCACAGCTCCAATTTTACAACCTTTTTTTACACTGGTCATTAAGTGGTCACCACTGTCTTGGAGCAATCTTATCTTTCCCTTTGGAGCGATTCCCTGAAAACCAGACACAAACATCCGTTTTCAGCAGAAAAGCCGCAACTTGTTTCTTTGCAAATGCAGAGAGATTGCCAAGCATCCGAAATGTGATCCTGTGACCCGGGGAGGCATCATAATTCTGAAATAACTACCTTTGGGGAGGGAGGGGGGTGTCTGTCATAAATTTGACCAGTCAAATTGGTCAAACTGGCCACAGGTCGAGGACAGCATGTACCCAGTTAACTAAGAACTTGCAAAGGGCTTCCAACTTTCAGATGGAGATCGGCCGATTGAACAGACTCCCTTGTAAAGAGGTGGATCCTCCATGTGCAGGGGCAGTGCACTGCAAGGAAAGAGGAGGAGGGAAATACGGAACAATTAACCAGTGTAACTGCTTGGTTCCAGGAATTGTGGGTGCCCCATCACTGGAGGTCTTGAAGAAGAGACTGGACAGTCATTGGACTGGAATGGTGTAGGGTCTGCTGCTTGAGCAGGGGGCTGGACTAGAAGACCTCCAAGGTCCCTTCCAGCTCTGTTGTTCTATTACGGGCTCCCTTTCCTGCCTGGAGATGTTGCAAGCTACCCAGGCTGTTTTTTTTCTCAGGGAAGAGCAACGTTTTGCAGCGGATCCTGAATGCCCTCCGCTTCCTGTGGGTGCTGTGCCAGGCCACGGTGGACGGCTTGACCCGGTGGCTGAGGGCCCTCACCAAGGACCACGAGCATCTCTCCACCATCCTGGGCCTGGAGAGGTTTGTGCTCACCCAGCAGCTGGATCAGGTGAGCGCCCGTCAGCCGGGCTGGGACTGCCTTGGAGAGGAACCTGCTTCCTCCAGCAGGCTCATCCCTCTCCGTCCCTGTCCCCCCCACGCAGGCAGAGGAGGTTCAAAGAGGCATCCTGGACAGGCTGTACCAGCCGGCCACACCAGCCGACAACACCTCGCAGGACACGGCCCTTCCTGGGACGGCAGCCGTCTCGCCCAACAGCATGGCTTCCAGGCAGGTGCATATGGGGCCGGGGAGGGGAACCTGGGGCGGCTCTGCCTTGCGGCAGGTGGGGCTGTGAGCCCAGAGTCTGGGCCTGTTCTCTGTGGGGCCCAGGAGTTGAGGAACGCACGTCCCGGGGAGGATAAGTGGGGTCCCTTCCCAGGAGCAGAAAGCAGGACCAGTGGCGCCAGGTCAGCCCAAGACAAGGATCCTGTCTTGGAGGATCCTTGAAGGATCCAAGACAAGGTGGACCTTCAACGTGCATCTCCCAGGCTTTCTGGCCCTCAGTTCTGTCTCCTCCTCCACCACCACCATCACCTCATCATCCTTTCCCCCTCCATCATCTGGCAGCGCTGCTTCTGGGGCAGCTGTGGCAATGGCCCCCGGGGGCAGTGGTGAAATCCATTTTTTTTTTGCTACTGGTTCTGTGGGCGTGGCTTGGTGGGCATGGCAGGGAAAGGATACTGCAACATCCCCCTTCCCTCCCCACTCCTGGGGCCAGCCAGAGGTGGCATTTGCCGGTTCTCCGAACTACTCAAAATTCCCACCACCGGTTCTCCAGAACCTGCTGGATTTCACCCCTGGTCCTTGGGTGGTGGGCAGCCTCTCCTTCCCTGGAGGCTCTTGGCAGCCATCTGTTACGAAGTAGGCAGTTCAGTCCCTTCTCCTGCTTGTGATGGGGTTGGGTGACCCCCCCCCTTAGAGCCCATCCAGCAGCGGACTTGCACAGCACAACGAACCTGAGCAGTTTCAGCCCGAGTTCATTTTCTTAGGGGCTCTGATGTTAGGAGGTTAGGTTAGGTTAGGTTAG